CATCCTAACAAATTTACCACGATGGTGAACTAGACACTAGTCCCTCTTACCACAGTATAAGCAATAGTACTAGAAACACTTGAACTTAACTACTTGAACACCCACTCGATGGCTTTCTATACCACAAGTATATTAATCAGTCTTAGTTGTTCAATGTTCAAATACAAATATATAAAAAGTAATTGATTAATAAATCATCTCAGACTAGAAATATGAAATTTTACACAGAGCTTCCTTTTATATAAGTAAAACAAAGGTCCTACTCCTTTGGGAACTTCGAAAATTTCCATGAAATCATGATTTCCTTATATTAAAAAGCACTGACTGTTTTTTTGTTATTCCCACAAGATCCGGAGTTATAAGGTTAGTCAGCTTACCAAGTTAGCCAACTTTTTGAACAACAAACCCTTCTTCGGTCATTTCACTCACTGTTTTACCATTTGAAACTATTATTGACTTAACTATTCTTACTCGTTCTTATACTACCTGTTTTAAATTAAAGTCTTTAATCTTTTATTTGGAAATGTTACTCAAACAATAATATTATTATTCGAAATATTAATATTTTTGTGTACACGTGGTTTTTCTATCTTTCTGACTTCGCTAGTTTATTAACAGTTACTTTTTTTTAAGTACGTTTGTTCCGTTGTGGAACAGGCTAAGGTCGGAGACCATGCTGCCTAGTCTCAATATGTGTGATATGAATTTGTCTGGAAAAAAGACATTTTATAAGATAATTTTTTATATTCATGTGAATGGCCAAAGATATATTAAACACTACCTACTTTTTATGGATGATTATTAAAGAAATAGTATCTGGGCGCCAGTGGGAGATGATAAGTCAGGATGAAAGCAAATCAGTTGGCCCATTGTGATAAATTCATCAAAAATTAGCCACGATGATGTTTAGGAAGGGCTGCAGAAATCGTTTATACCGAGTACTGTTATGAGTGTACATCACTAGTTGTAGATTAGATCTGGCAACATTGAATTGCTCTCTTTTATCCATCATGGCGTGAGTACTACCCTCTTATTAAATAAAGGATTTATAATTATAATGCTGCCCTTTCTTTAGAATAAGGCTCCCAGGCCGATCCCTAACCAATAAGTATAAAACAGATACGTTGCTCGCAATGGGACTACTATTAATAATCTCTTCCCCTTTATCCACCAATATTATAAATGTCAAATTAACTTTGTTTCTTTGTTACCTATTGCTGGCTTAGTTCCATTATTCGTTCTAACATTTGATATACTCCTACATTTAGTTGTACGCTACGTTTTATCGCAGTCACATAAAAGAAATCCCAGGAACAACTATTCATAATATAAATATGAAAATTATAAAAATAGATTATAATAATGATGAAATGATATACATAAAAAATATATATTATAAGCCATATGAGATTTTTACTCTGACACTTCAAAATATAATTTTAATGCGATGCTAATGACCTCATTCTTTTATTTCGTCTCGCTATTTTTAAACGGGAATAGTGTTACCGGTTGTTAATAAATCACGTTATGCAATATTTAACTCGTTAGTATTTTTCCTGTTAAATATTTCATACGTAAGTGAACTAGACTTTATTTTTTTACGATATAGATATAACTATAGATTAGTCCTCATTAAATATATGTATATTTAATGAGGACTAAAATAATCTATAGCTATAGAGATATAGAGGAAATTTAATTTTAGACATATTTGTTTTGTTACTGTTTGTTTCAGTTTATATTTTATTTATGTTTCGATTTCTTTACCTACACAATAATTAGATATTATATTACGTGGTACTCTTCTATGAAAAAGTTTATAAGATATAGCAGCTTCATTCGATAGCTTATTTAGATTCCTCAGATTTTGTAAAAGACTTCTAATTTTTTTTATTTATCACTAATTGGAAAATAAACATACAGCTCGTTTGATAGTCATATTTGTAAGATTTTGTGAGAAAAAAAATAATTTATGTAATATATAAGTCTCAGAATATTGTTACAGAATGTATAATTACAAAAGACGTTTTTGTTCCTACAACTTGTCTAACAGCGATGTCGGTATTATAAATATAAATAAATAAATATCACTAGACGTATTTAACAGCGCCATCTAGAACAAAATTATGAAAAGTTGTTTTTTTATTTTGTTAGAAAATTAAGTGAATCTTGCACTATGAGCAATAGACACCTGATAAGTATAGATACTTTATTTATTTATTTATTCTTTATTGTCTACATTACAAAAACTGTTTGATATAACTATTTGTGTAGGAAAAAGGTTTAAAATTTAACTTTTTTAAACTATCATGAAACTAGTATTTATTGTCAGATTTATGAACTAATATGTAGGTAGATAAATAATAAATACTCTAATGTGTACAGAAGAATAAAGTATCATTCACAGCCTACACTTGTTGTTTGAATAACGTAACATTTATCACCGATTTCATTACCTTAAACCGCAATGTACCATAATATCGGTTCGAACATGCTGCATTAACAGTAGTACTTTGTCATGCCCAGTTGTAATCAGGAAATAGTTTGGGTTCGTTGTAACTGCAACTACAATTTTCCAACTTTAATTAAAACCACACCTTTTCGAGCTTGTTACTTTTGGATTGTCCTGATTTTTCATTAAATTATTTCGTTCTTTTTACTAATATTTTAAATGTGAATGTGATTTTGATTGTTTAAGACTTTAATGGTTTAGACCGTCATGAAATTTGGCATTTATTTAATCATTTTAATAATATAGGGAGATATTATATAAAATCTACACAACAAACAAATATAACAGTAGAGTTTCTTGCTCGTTCATCTCATTTGAAATTATATTTCGAACTGGGGGGGTTAATCCACAAAAAAACTATTATAATTTAGTACTACAGTACTTCATTATTTTTATGTTTTTACGTATATTTTCTCATTCGGATTCTCAAGGTTGACTGGAAGATATTCTTTGAATCTTCATCTATGTACATTTTCATTATGACCTGATACATTAAAAGCGAATGTATAAAAGCACATAAGTAAATAAATAAGTAAGTATACTTGAATAAAAATTATTTCATTTTATTTGTGCTAGGGTGCCTTTGTTCCACTCATGTTTCTGTAGTGAAGCAGTAGTATTCGCATAGTTGTTTTTCGGCATGAATGATTTTTTGTGTTATTTTTTAAGTGGTACAATAAAGAGTAAATAAATAAATAACGTAACAAATATATTTTGTTATATCCATGGTACCTACTGTTAGTTATTGTAGACATACTATAGACAGCTGTCATTATCAACCAGGTGGGCTGTCAATTATTTTACCATTTCTAATTCCATAAAACATTTAGGTATATTATTAGGTACTATATTTCATCCCAAATCAATTAATATGTACTGTTTACGCGAACGTAACCGCGAGCGTAGCTAGTTTTTTTTTATACAACATTGAATAGCAAACAAGCTGACGGGCCACCTGATGGAAAGTAGTAACCGTCGCCTATAGACATGAGCAGTACCATGGACATAACAGAGTATACTGTTTCGCCTATGATACCCCCCATACGTTGCCATTCTTGAGGACTCAGGTGTTATTCCTCTGTACCCAGTAAATTCACGCCATATCCCACCCTAACTATAGAGTAAAATTTCGAAAAATGATGAAGTATTACTACAAAAGGTTTTCTAATTTAAGGCGTTTCAACTTCAACATCAAAGCAATATTCATGACATAAACATTTATTAATTGCGATTTTATTAAAGTATCTTGAATCTTTTGAAGGAAGACGTCATATTTTAATTTAAAATCCAACAACGTTAAATGGAATTTTCATCGCAGCAAGGTATTATGAAACAGTTTATATTAGGTATTTTGTTCATATTTAAACTCAATAGTAAATTAAGAGGTTCCTCCACAATACGAGGGACGTAATTTTGGATTTAATCAAGTCTATAAGCGAGGAATAAAAATATCTTAATTTACTGGCGTTTTCCTAATAATTACGTTAAAAATAAAATGTGTTCACTATTGTAATATCGGATTTCTATAATGAATCGAAATTTAATAATAACTATCGTTCGTTTAGTTTTACTCAGTTATTAATTTCGGTGTTCCTCGACTAGTTTCGGATAGGATAGGAACGCTTATTATTTTATAAGCACGGTTCACACTGAGTTCCGAGCAATCCCAAAATTAATACGCGAGTAAAGCCGATATAAATAATTATAACTGAAACTTATTTAAAAGTGTTCATCATTATCCTATCCGCCTTTAACTGTCTACTGCTGAACATAAGCCTCTCTTTGGGGGTTTTGCCAGTAGTTGCCACGTTTGGCAGACGAATTAGCAACCGCAGTTAATCTTTAGAGATGTTTTAGGAGCCGCTGTCTATTCCTCCACCCTTGGTCTTACGACACCCACGGGAAAGGAAGAGGTAGCTTACTCCATTTTGAGACCACAAGACAACAAAGTATTAATATATAAAAGCATTAATATTAATTAAATATTGTTACTTCTTTGCGCCCATCATTAAATTTTACACGTAAGTGTTATTTTGGATGGCGTCATTAAATTTAACACATGAGTGGTATTTTACAATAGATGGTGAATAATTCACTACTAAAACTTAATAAATTACTTTTTATTTCTGTCATTTAAACTTAGTTGCCAGCAAAATATTAGATTATAACAAAACAAACAACGGTAGTAGCATATCATATTCTGTCATGTTCACGGTATTTTACATGTCTGTCGTCGGTTACCTCTTTCTATCTAGTGGGCGTCAGCTTGTTTGCTAATCTGTGTTCTATAAAAAATGGTTTATAAATCGCGCGCGCATACACCGGCATCGTTCGGTTAAATATTTACGACGCATCCGAGTCTCTTGTTCTAAACTGGAGCTTAGATCTCGTGATATTTCGGTGTCGGTGTCAAAGCTACAGTGCTCTAAAAATGTCTGCACTGAAGCGGGGGCACGATGAGACGGAGTGGGCAGGGGGAGTTAGCAAGAGATAGCTAGGGCGCGGGGCGTGGGGCGCGGGGCATCGGCGCCTACGCACTGCCCGCCGCACCTTGCCGCCCGCCTTACACCAGTCAGCAGCTGTGGCTCGTGTTGGCTGAACCATCAGATAGGGCCATCCTCTTTTTTCTTGCCGTAGGTGAGTTCTGGCAACTTGTACTAACCTAAAACGACGATTTTAAGATTGTTAAGTGTAATAATGGTTAAGTGAAGTGATATATCAATGTCGGGATGTAATGGAATGCTGTGATGCATCGTCGCGCCTTATAGTGAATGTGAGAACTTTAATCGTGACGTTCGTGTACTGGAGACATTTTAGGATATCAGTGAAGTTACAAGGATGTTTATGATAATTGGCGTAATAAATGCATTCCTTGAAAAATTATTTCTGTACCTACAAAGTTTTTTATAGACACGGTGAAGTAAAATATAGCTGATGCTTAATAACCGTCACCAATCATTTATACGCATTAAAGAAAACTTACATAGAAATTGATTAATCATTTATAGTTTTTTTTACTATTTTAACTGTTGACGCAATTAATGTTTAAGATTTTGTTATTTATTGTGTTTTAAAATCGACGAATATGCTTTTTATTCATATAATATTATTTTAATGATATTCTATTATAAACACAAATGATATTGAAACATATCAATCCTATTAAACTTTATTTAAAAGAATTGTAAATAATAAAAGCCATAAAACATAATACCGAAAATAAAAAAAAAAAATACTGAATATAAAAATATTCCTGTCTGCGGTTGACTGGTAGATAATGCCATATGGTGTTATATCCGTCATTTACACTTTTTTTATGTATTAAAATTTAATAAACAATATATTTCGTTGCATATTGCGTATGTCCATCAGGTGTTACATCCGAAACTCGAGTAATCCAAGTCGCGACCGTGCCACCAAATTAGGTTACGGCGACATGCGAGCCATCCTATTTCAGGCGCGCGCGCACTGCCCGACAACAACCGATCTTTGCCGAGTACACCCGAATCTAATTGTGGAATTTTCATTTCCCAGCAAACTTTTATGACAGGGAAACTATTTCCTCATAACGCGTAATAAATTTAAATTTAATTTCTTAATTTAATGCGTACCAAATAAAATTATTTTGAATTTGTCACGTTCAATGGATTACATTCCAATACATAGAAAGCAAAATGGTTTTTCCAGTATCGAATATCTATAGCTTACATTCAGGTATCTGGCAGTTATCCAAATAGTTTCAAGTAACAGGTTTGTTGCCATTAAAGACGGCCAAATACGTATTTTTATGTTGCTACGAAAATCGAACGGTTATAGCGTATTTATTACAACTTTGTTGTAAATTTTATCAAATATACAAATATTCTTTAAAATCAAAATTTTTAATTTTTCGAAAATTCTTCACTCTATCTAATAAGCATGTATAAATATCTGGCATATAAATATTTTTGATATATGATATTACACTAAAATATCTCAGTATTTATTTAATTTATTAATTATCTCACAACAACTTAAACATATATACATAAAAAAATCTGAAAAACAATTTACATTTGTTTTACACATCTCTGCACTAAATTTCCTTCCAATCTGTTCCACCATTTAAGCAATATTAAGTAGCGAACATTAAACCGGCCTAAATATGTATACTTGGAGTATACTCGTATTTAGGCTATATATATATATATATATATATATTATATATATATATATATATATATATATATATAGAAATCCTTAAATATATATACGTTGAGTTCTTTATGCCTGTACAAATTATTATAAAAAGGGTATAACAAACCGAAAGTCAAAGTATTTATGGAATATAACCACTTTTCCATGATAGGTCGAAAGTTGGAATATGAAAAAATCTTTCCTATACTCGTAAACCGTAATCCGTGGTTGCAATTAGAATTGAAAGTTCAAAAATCGCTTCCATATTTTAACCTATATTCCAAGGAAATGTTTAAATTGTTTGTTTCATATTTCTACCTATATTTCATGGAGAAACTGTTCTATTCCAGAAATAGACGAATAATTATGTTTTACGCCCATATACTTTGATATATATTAATATATATTATTGTGTGATAATAATCAAATATGTGTTATATTTTAAATAAAGTATCTGGACTAAATAAAGTATCGTCTTAGATAAAAAAATTACAAACATTAGCTCGTAGCTATATAATTGTAATATTTTGTCGCATTAAATTTCAATAGTGTGTTAAAATAAGCGTCAACAATGCAATTGTTTAAACTTAAGTAAAAGACGCCAGTACAATAACGAAAGTTCCAAATAAAATGAATATTACACATATAATAACAACCTACGTCGTCAGTAATCTTACCGTCATCTTACAGATATCCAACAGTGGAATGTTATTAGATTGTTAAGGATTCAAGACGTGTTTAGTAAATGAATTAATATTTTATCCATTATTCACAGGACACCTAGACCAACACAAACACAATGGCGGATGATGAAGTAAGGTAAGACACCGTCTGATGGCATTAACGATTTATTTGAATTAATTTCAGTACAATACCGTCGCTCTACCTCTACTTCGGGGGATTGTTCTGATTTCCCCAAAGCCTTATCTTGACCTAAAGGGTCACAAATTTATACATATTTTGACGTGTTTTGATATTTTTATTTTTCACTACATTGATGAGAAAATATAATAAATCAATTTTTTTTAAAAAACGCACTAGTCATTAAAGTCGTAAATTTTGCTTTTTATTTTAAAGTTATTCAAATACCAATAAAATATCACTTTTAACCCTAACTGCCTGCCAAGTGTAGCAACTACTGGTAACCCCCCCCCCCCCATTCCTTTTGGGGAAGGCCTATGTTCAGCAGTGGATGAAAGTAGCCATTTAGTATTATATTAATATAAAGAACAGACAGAGGCTTTTATTTCGGAACTAGAATGAAATTAATATTTTTCTTTTATAATTTTTACACTATTTTATTAATAACAATTTTATTTCAATCAGTCCGACAAATGAAAAAGTTCATAATTTTTGAAGTTAGTATAAAAACTTGAAAACAAAAGATACTATTAAGTGAATAACAGAGATCGGAACTTAAATTGATTAATAAAAGATCGATTCCAGTTCCGACCTCTTTTATAATACCATACCTACTTGTAAACCAGATTCAAACTTATGATCACTGATGTCGTTTTAAAAGTTTATAAATTTCGTTTTGTTTATAAAAGTATTCTATTATTTTGTGACAGTATTCTCACAAAAGTAACTAAGTAGCAAGTGAAACAAAACTTTTTTTTTGTTGATGGATTATAATGGAATGGTAATCCCACCTGCGCTAACAATATACACTGGCGAGGCACCAGTGACAGGTGATAGATGAGAATGAAAAGGTAGACCGATTAGCCCACCGTGATGAATACAACAGGAATTGAGTACGATAATTTCTAGGTGGGACCAAGTGAAGGTCGACCTAACAGGGTATATTACTAGCAATGGGATTTGTAGACTGCATTACTAACAATTCCTTCCCTCCAACAAAATTTATTCTTTTTTTTTTTTCAAAAGTTCTTTATTTATCATAAGTGATTATAAATATAATAAATTTCAGTGTACGTAAGCCTAGAATTTACAATCAGCCATAAATCGTTTGGCGAGTAATATACACTCCTTGAAACATTTAAAATAGAGATACAAGTATCTATAATTCTACACAACATAAAAACTTACATTGCATGATGTAACTTATTAATTATAATCATAAAATAAACACAAAATGCACATATTTGTAATTTATGCATTATAACAAAACTTATTAAACTTATGAAGTCATACAAAAAATTTGAAGTTATATGTAATGTGGAAGTACTAGTATATAGATAGAATGTGGGTGTAGGGAATGTGGGTGTAGAGGATGCGTGTGAGAAATGTGTGTGAGAGAAAATGAGTGTCTGTAAGAAGATACAATTTAAATTGATCCACAAAGTGTATGAAAATTAGTGGGTTTTGTCGTACTCAAAATTCGAATGAATGACCACTCAGGTTATTTGAGTTAATTTTATTGACAATGTGATGACATATCAGTTTAATATTTTCTAATTTATATTTTTGTTTTGTTTTCTGTTTCATTGTATGCTACCTCTACACTTTATATCGACGGTGCTGCTATCTGGTGATCTTTATTGGTGCCTCCGTACAACAATCCAGTATTGATTGTATCTCCTCGAGACTCAGGTAAATGTTGTAACTAACATGCATATGGTACTTACACAAAGTAAACAAGTACAATTTCGAAGAACATTCAATACTACTTTTGTTACTATAGCGATAAAGTCTACTTTAAAAGACAATAAAAAATCTATACAAAAAATTGCAAATATTTTAACATGAAATTTTTGTTACAGCCGTATTTTATATAAATATTTTCATATTTATTTGTCGTGAGTTAGTAAGTTGTAATGTCCATGTAAATTGGACGCTTACCTATATGTAAAACGCTATATGTACCTATGCAATGTGTTAAAAATAAATATTCCACGTGATAATACACTGTAGACTCCCACAATTCACCAGTATTTAACAGTAAACATAGTGTATAACATATATTTATTAACACACTTTTGTACTTGATATAAAAGTAATGCCCTTGCTTTATTGTTCAATTTGACGGTACACTGACATTTGAGTTTATTAAATTAATAATGTTACTTAATTACATATACTTTACAAGATATACCTATTTAAATAATGATTATTATTTGAAACAATTGAATATAGAATTTAAAATAAGAATATTAATAGAGATCTTATGAATATTTGTAGTTTGTACTGTTTATTGAATGATTTGTGAGCAATGACATTATACTCAGAATTACTAGTAATGCACTTGCACTCACATTACATGCCCCCAAGCACTGTGATAACAATACAAACATAATATAAAGTCTATATTGTTTTATCCCATCGAAGTCCAATGATTCATTTCATTGACAGATATTTAAATAAAAAACAAAAATTTTAAAAACTATACGATTATTGTCTCCAGGAAATGAATGCAATGGGCTTCATATGTATAACAAATTATATTTTATGTTAATCAATTATAAATGGCTAGGGAAGTAATTAAAAAATCTATATAAATAATATAATTGTTCTATGTATAACAATATAACTGTACAGAGATTCGTAAATAATGTAACATTTGAATTAAAACATTTGTATTTTCTGTAACTAACTGCAAAACACCAACAATAAATCAATGTTCTATTCTTGTTCGTGCGATATTTTTATTTTTACGAGCTATTTACCTTCTCGTAAATATTAAAATTAAGCATTTTACGATCGTAACATTCATGAGTTTCATCAGATATAAAAATATCTCACGAAAAAATCTGTAACATAATTAAGTGTACACATAATATTTTTATGAACAAATTATAACCATTGTTTTCTTTTTTTTTATTTCAGAAAAAACGTCTCGAGGAGGTAAAGTAATGGCGGTCGACTACCACACTACATACACAAAATTACTTCACATTAAGATTTTAGTTATATGGAAAAGGCAGTCTCTTTGCATATATGAATTTTTACATTATATACCTAATCCAAATAATATTTACATCAGAATTCTATAGTCAATAATCTATTTTATATTATACCGTTTTTATTTTAATGTTCCCATTGCACGTTATCATAAAAAATGAAATGGTAATATGTGTAGCTTTGATTACTGTAGTTCGCTTCAATACACAATTTTTTTCCGTATACTGTTATCACAAAAAGTAACGGATATTTAACTAATGTATAAAAAATATTTTTTAATAATGATTCTAGATTTTATTCACTATTTATAACATATTCAGAATTAGGAAATTAGGCACATTATTACCATACTTTTGACTGTCTTTAGGCGAAGAAGGCCAAACAGGCCGAAATCGACCGCAAGCGCGCTGAGGTGCGCAAGCGCATGGAAGAAGCTTCCAAGGCCAAGAAGGCAAAGAAGGGTTTCATGACACCTGAGAGGAAGAAGAAACTTAGGGTAAATATTTTTTTTAAACGTATGTCCATTCAAATATATGTATATATATAATTATAGACAGAAACTGGACATCATTTTATGTTTATTTATATCAGATATTTTTTGCGGAAGAAAATTGTATTAGTAACTGTTACATATTACGAGTATTTCTGTTTATTTAAAATCTACCTATAGTACATGTTTTCTATACATGATTAATAGATATATGGAAATACTATCTGTGTCCCGGGTTTTACCCATTTGAATCAGTACATAAAATATATTATGACCTAAATTAGGAGATAACCTATCCTTGTACCAAATTTTATTTAAATGCGATCAGTAGTTTTTGCATAAAACAGTCATAAACATCCATTCATCTGTCATAACAAACTTTTACATTTATAATATCAAATGGATTACCTTTTATTGGAGCTTCTTGGTCCTTATTTGTATCCTCCTTAACAGTTGTTGCTACGTAAAAAAGCCGCCGAGGAATTGAAGAAGGAGCAAGAGCGCAAAGCGGCCGAGAGGAGGCGCATCATTGAGGAGAGGTGTGGTAAACCTAAGAACATTGACGATGCAAACGAAGGTGACTATCATTCCTCACGATAACGTTGATCTATGACCAATTGTGTATTTATTTATAAGTAATTTACACCATTGCCAAAATATTTTAATATAAGCACTCAATAAGTCAACAAAAATTTTTTGTCATACACATTACACCACATTAGGTTACAGATGATCATCGTTCAATGGTGACCCATGTAATGTATGTTGTATCAAATTATAGATTCTCTTAAGAGGATTTCCAAAGAATACTACGACCGCATCGTTCAACTTGAAGACCAAAAGTACGATCTGGAATACATCGTTAAAAGGAAAGATATGGAGGTAGTGAGACGAGCTGCTCTGGATCGGCTCTCTTTTGGCGAACTTACCAAACTTACTTAACTTCACTTTCATTTTAACGTTACTTGTGATATGAAAAGTGCCGTCTTGTCTCTCCTTCGGCTGTTTGACATAACAGAGTATTAGCTAGACTGGTGTGTCGGGCCCTCAGCTTCGGTCCATTTATCTATTCTAATGCGTTTCTCTTCCTCTTCAACCCAGTTATAAGACGTTATATTTTTCTGCAAATACTTACTACCTTCTATTTTTCTGATAAATTTCCTCTTGAGACTCACATTATAACAAATTGTCCGTGGATCGTCGATACCGCTGGTCGCACCTAAATTCAAGTAAGATGGTGTGTGTAGTGCGCGCGAGTAACTATTGGTTGTTTGTAGCGGCTCTCACGAGCATCATTACCGGTTACCATCAGCGAATCATCAAGCTTGAAGAGGAGAAGTATGATCACGAGATGGAGGTGGCCCGCAAAGGGCTCGAGGTCTGATCTGGTTTGGGCGCAACGCAATCTTTACACGCTCTACGTTTGAGTAGTTTATGCCGTTAATGTGACTAGAAAAATAATTATCTGTTTTCACAAATGAACCATAATGATAAATTTGCGAAGCTGGAAACCAAATATACCTACATCCTTAACCGTGTGGATAACAAATAAATTTTATAAGCGCTAAAATAACAAGATCGTAGTGGCGATTCCGAAGCTGCTAATTTGATTATGTAGATATTATCATCGATTTTTGAGTCAATAACAACATAGACTATGACGCAGTAATAGCCTATCTATGATCCCACCTATATAGTTGTAATCATATAGCTTCGCTTACGCTTGTACTCCTCGAGTGGAGAGGTCCCTATCTCGCGTGCCTACACTACGACACCTACACGTCTGCGGAGCGGCTGCCGACGTGCTGCCAGTCTCTTACCAATCCTTAAAGTCTGATTGTTTTTCTTTAGCGGAACTGCAGACGATATGTCAAATGTACTGGCACAGACTATACAACCTTGAGGGGGATAAATATGAGCTAGAACGAGCGATCCAAATTAGGAAAATGGAGGTAAACAGCATAATTAGGATTGGGAATGCATATGAGTTGATACTGATTTAGTTATTACAACATGACATGATAGTTGTACGGCTCACCGCACACATGCACACGTCGCCCCCGTCGACAGACGCAGGTCACCCACACAATGCCCATGCTCATTCTGCTGGCTCAATAATCTGTCTTTCCTTTTTCTATAGCATTGCTCAAGAGAATAATACAGGAGTATTATGACCGCATGTATGTGTGTGAGGGCCAGAAGTGGGATTTGGAACATGAAGTCAGGAAAAGAGATTATGAGGTATTGACCAATACTTTATAACCATTGTGAATATCACAATCATCGATAACGTAACAACGTGCGCGTGTGTAAATTCGTGTTTATATATATTGATAATGCTTTGTCAGTTTTCGGTTGTTTGTTGTTGAATTGTAAATAACGGTAAAGGGAAGGTCGGTAGTGATGTACATGTAGAGCGGGTGTGTGCGTGATGTAGAACGCGCCGCGGATCGGGGCGAGAGCGTTAGTGGAAGCGGGCGCAGAGCCGAGCGCGGCGCGTACGGCTGCGGTGCAAAATCGATCGGCGCATCATCCAACATGGAGCTTACACCATTAACTACACTAACTACAGTAACCGCGATCGCCATTGGCGTAACAGTAACCACACTGCACTCACCACTGATGCGGGCAGCTTCGCCACGACATGCATGCCCGCGTAACTCTCACCCGCGTCATCATTATCATTGCTATCTTGCTAGCACTACGCCCTCTGTGCTTGTCTCATTCATTATATCACTCTCCAAGGTATCATTGATATCATCAAGAGACATGTTTTCATTTCCATTGTCAATTGTCTATGTCTAATTAGTGTGTTGTTTTCATTATATTTATTTGCTAAAGCTTTATATGCCTGCTGCATGTCTCTAAAAATCCTAACCAAAAGGAGCTTTAAATTCCCGGTTAATATTTTCACTCCTAAAATAGTATGGCACTTTAATAAAATTAAATCGTGTGTTTAAGCAGTAATAATCGAGAGCACCGTCGCTGCATACGCCAGTGTTACGCTTCATGTGTGGTGGCAAGCTTAGTGGCCTTACTGAATTTTCTCTTTTATTATAACATTATTTAGTTGCCGTTGAAGTGTAAATGGAACGTTGGACTGGTTCCTTTATTGGCACACGCAAGTGCATAGTGTAAGTGAAACTTCTTGTTCCAAATCTCCAACTATTCATGTATGTGCCGTTATTTCGCGCGAAATGTTTGCGTGTTCGGTTGTTGAGAGCCCCATGATACCTTTTGTAATTCCCGATGTGATTTAGTTGGACACTGAGTGTTTCAATTGAAAGTGCCATGCTCTGGTCGTGTTGCCCACCCTCTCCCTATCGAGTCCGAGCCCGCGTCGTCCTCGGTCGCTCGGTTTTTATCTGCACCTACTATTCGGGACACGGAGTGGTATATACTATGCTCACTTGCGAGTCCAAAGACACTACAACACAATATTATATATACCGATCATACTACCTTTACATATGCAAGTCTGGATCGATTTTGCACCGTCACTCCATAATACTTACACACTTTCGCAACGTCCGTACTCTCTCTGTTCATACAATGTACGTCTTTAAAACCGATGAATGTGGAGACGTACATTTTTAATTTGATTAAAATTGCACATCAGTACAGCGCTCAATATATTACAACTTCGATTACTGGACTTGAGAACATGGAAACACATGAATACTATTCACATACAATTCTGTCAGCGTCGAAGAAGTATAATATTGTTGGCGCTGGTTTGTTTTGCACCATGTAAAATATCTTGCACATAAATGTTATTGATTTTATTAAGGAAACAGGAGCTGCAGACGACCAGCTACCAAAATCGAGGCACGGTAGATTTTGTGCACGAATTTATAAGTAGTCGTTATGGAATTGTGATTAGAGATCGTTGGAGATGTATATTTATAGGTAAAGAGCACAGGTTAAAGATATATAGGCAACAAGTGCTAGGCCACGGGACTGACATTTGCGGAGTATTCTCAGTATGTATTCACATACTGCAGAGAGTTATAACTGAACATCTGCTCGCAAATAACACCGCCTAATCTTCACCCAGCTCTATATCTTGTTCTGTGCTTTTCTCGAATTAATATTTACCATTATATGTTCTAAAGACTGTTACAATTTTACATTTTGCTCTACTGATTGTGCTTTCTTTTACAGATCTTTTGGAGTTTTAAGCTTTCAATGTTTTCTGACTTCTTTTCGTGAATTGCATGAAGTTTTTTGGTATCTTTCTGGTATTTTAAAGTAATATCTTACTTGTCTGTACCTATAGCAAGTAGTGAAGTTACATGGCAGAATTTTAAATTTTACTAAAGTAATTATGAGCTATTAGAAATTGACTGACGTATTATATTATACTCTAATGGCTACAATTACAATAAATATTGATTGCATTAGTATTATATAGATATAGTTTTAGGACAGACATGTGAAATAATTACTGTTATTGTTATTTTCTTCTATACATTCATAAACGTTCTATAACATAACTTTCATAGCTGTTTAATTGGTCATAAAATACATCTAAAATCATTTACTTTTTAAATATAGAAATTTCTGAATAAAATTTTTCTTTTCTACCATTTATATTCTTTTATAAAAACATTAAATGTTTGTACTTTTTTCATTCTACTCGTATTTCATTTTTTAATTTGTCAACATTGTGTATAATAATAATTATATTTTGGTAGATCGCTGACCTGAACTCTCAAGTCAATGACCTCAGAGGCAAATTGTAAGTATTTTATTAATCATGTTAAATTTTAATTTATTTTTTTCCGAATTACGTAAGCTATTTAAATATAGAGGATTTTGGAAATGAAGAAATACGTTATTTTCTAAAAATACTTCTAGATTATATTTACCATAGTCTAGGTGCAAGCAACGATTAAAATGCATTGATTATAGATATTATTTTAAAACACGAACACATAGTTTTGCGGCCTTTATTATTGAAGTGGTTTTTAACCACGACTTTATCCACGTGACCGGGTTATGTTTATTGACCAGTATAAAAAATAGGCCGCCCCGAAGACCGCCATAAGGAACAGTCCTGAGCCACATGCATCCATTGACTCCTTGCAATGCTTTTGAGGTCGTCACTCTATCTAGTGGGATCGTCCTAAACTGGATTTGTCCGTATTGGATTGCTACTCAATGTCTAGCTACTATGTCCAGCAGTGGACGGATAATGGCTGAAATAATGATAATGATAAAAAGTAACCTATGTCTTTTTCAACTATATAAAGTACTGGTATAAACTTTATAATGATTGATTACGTTATTAAAGCGGTAAGATGTAATAAACAAACAGATTCACTTTCACATTTGTAATATTAATAAGAACTATTAAGGATACATATTCAAGCGTATTTAAGAAAATATAATAAATTTATAAATAATAAATTATAAGTTCATTATAAAAGACTTCGAAGACTTCGAAATAAATGACTTCACTATAATACATATAATGAAGTCCACAATATATGGAATGAATTGTAACAAAAAAAAAAATATCAATATATTTTCTTCTTGCATTGTTCTAAAAATTCTCATTCCAAGCACAACATTGCATTTTTGTTGTAAAAAGCAAACCAAGTGGGCAGGATGTGACTGTGAATACAATTATATCCAGTATAATGACATGCCCAAGTCTGAGAGCGGTCGAGGACTCCGCTACAACACTCCACTTCACTCCCTTTGTTGTACGCAGAGATCATGCCATTTACAATACGAATGGGTATATTACTTGGATGAAATATTATATAAATCTGCTATAAATTAAAAATCAGGTAGTCAGTTTATTATATATTAGCTGTCCGCCCCAGCTTCGCTCGGGTATATCTTTTGCAATTCTTAATATGATTAGTTGGAGACTGATGGTAGATAGATTTTTTGATAATAATATACGTTGTAATATCAGCAAGTAACGCTGATAATGTAGCTTTCTATAGATGAAAAAAAATTAAAAAGTCGGTTGAGTAGTTTTTAAGTTTATACATTCCAATCAAACAAATCTTTTCTTTTTATAATATTAGTACAGGTTAGTTTAGGCAATACTTTATGTATGTACTTAAATATCTAATAATAATGTTGTTATTTTAATAGAACCCCAAATATCTAAAGTCAAGCGTAACTTCTTCACATAACTAATTCAACATCTGTATTTTGAGCGTTGTATCAATTTCTCAAACGCATGTTCATTATGGGACATTCAGTATTATAATATGAAATTCCATTCGCCTTCTTATCGATAACACAATTTGAATTTAATATGCTAAGGGATAGAAATGGAAATTTAATCTTAAAGACAAGAAACAGTATTCGTATTTACATAGATAACTGGTAAATACTGATTATCTATGCAATGTTGAATCATTTGTTTCTCCTTACTTTAAGGTTTAAGCATTGTAAGACTAAAACATTGTAATCGATATTCAAATTTGATTGTGTTTTAAATTACGAACTACATTTAAATTAAGAACTGTTCTATATAAATATTTAAATTCATATTTCTTTTGTTAATGCAGCGTTAAACCCACACTAAAGAAGGTGTCCAAATATGAGAACAAATTTGCCAAACTTCAAAAGAAGGCCGCCGAATTCAACTTCCGTAATCAATTGAAGGTTGTCAAAAAGAAGGAATTCACCCTCGAAGAAGAGGACAAAGAGGTAATTAAATGTCATCATAAAATTACCATTTCGATGTTACTACTTAAATACAGGGCGATTAAGTTTGTTTTCTAGAGTAATAAATAAATGTCCTGACTTTTAAAGGATTGATTATAACTATTAAAAGATATCACTAGTGCCGAGATTTGATGGTGATATGGTGCTGTAGGAGCTTTTCGATGGTGTCTGAAAAGTGAAGAAACAGTTCCACAATAACGTTGTAACAGAAATAACATTATTTACAAAATTGAACAAAATTAATCATATACCCACACATACATATTGAATTTCAATGACAGTATATATTCTAATAACTATCCTGATTTTCTAATGAAACCTAACTTTATGTAACAGAAATAATAATTAATTTTATAAAATTTTGTTACAATTTTGGTTGGTTCGATTCCACCTCTCTTTATCTAATGGTTGACTAATAATTCTTCATTACACTATTGACTTGTAATACAAAAAATTATGCGTCCCAAGAATCTTGTTAGGTAGAATAAAAACCTACAATCATCTATTACTCATGTTCCAACAGGCCAAGAAAGCGGAGAAAGCTGATTGGGCTATCGGGAAGAAGTAGATAATGTACAACAAAAATCTTGAAAATCTTTACAAATTCCCATTACCATTAATTTTCGATGGTTTAATTTTAATGCTCTTTAATTTTTAAATAAATTTTATTTTCTATTTCCACCAAACACTTGTATTATCAATTATAATATAGTATCCAACCGATTAAATAGTATGAGGTGAGAAAATGTTTGGATGCGCTCCATGCTTCACCCGTAGTTGCTGTGATCAATTTGAGGTCCCGCAGCCCCAAGCCAGCTTACGTTTCGTATTATTTATTTAAATGCCATTTTCTTCAGAATTCAAAATCTCCTGCTAAGCTTCGCTAATCCTGTGTTCATGAATTTTGATGAGCCAGGATATTTCAGAAAGTGCTAATATTGTTTTTCTTTTTTAATGAACCTACATCCTGCCAGCATAACGACTAACACTTAATTGATTCTTTTAAAATAATCGCTGTAATTATAGAACGATGAGAGATAAATCTGAGTTTATTGAAAAACTCCGTGACTTTTTAATATTTTATAGTACATACATAATAAATTGTATTGAAAACAATAATGACACTGAAGTATATTAATTAATAGAGACTACAGTATGGGGTTCCTCAAAAAGGGTTATAAGGTTTCTTCAGGGTCGGCACCGCGCACATGACACCCCTGGTGTTGCAGGCGTCCATAGGCTACAATAACCGTTTATCATCAGACGGGCTGTATGCCTGTGCCACATTTGTGGTATAAAAAAAAATAACAAATAACATGAGATCTAACTATTTCTATCTAACTTATCCAATTAACATATCAAAATACAAAAACAGTATTCAACTACAATTCTGACAAAAAATATTTAGCCAATTTACATGTTCCTTTATTTTGTTATAACATTTAGCGTAATATATTTAGATATATCGCCAAAGCATTTATAACAAATTGTGATGCGATATTCCACAGGGTGGTGCCGGGGGAAAGGTAAATAGAAAATAAATTGCAATGTACAAAGAGGTTTTCTATAGAAATCTCACACTTGCACAGCTTGAAAACAATCCATTCTTAGAATGGAATTGGCTGTAATTGCCTAGTTTGATTATTCTAGGTTTGCAACCATGCCAATTTCTTTTAGACATTATTTAAGATTGGCATTAGATCAGCCTTGCACATTCTACTGAAGATATTACTACTGTAAATCTGCTTCTGTGTGTCACCCAGACGCCAATTAGGGCGGTGTATTATATACACTTATGTATATAATTTGAATATTTTATAGGTTGCAACACGATCCGCTTCGAGTTTTGATAGTAAAGTTTTCGTAGGCACTTTTAAAGTGTTTTATTCGCTTCGACGTGTGATCTGCTTTCAATGATTTCAATATCATTATTGCATACCTGATTTCACATTGTACTGCGTGTTATAAATAGTTTGAGATCTTGGCAAGTGTTATTGATTATATTTCACTAAATATTTGCATTAATATATTAATATATTGAACATTAACAAATATGGATACCTTGTAGTAGTACAATGTGAAATTATTTTTCTTCGATATACTTTCACTTTATTGTATATTCAAGGAAACAAATGGCGTAATGATCGCATACATTATGCGACCTTGAACGCGTAAGGTTTTGATATAAACGCATCGACTTTTAGTATTTTACACAAAATTGTGTAAATTTTATTACACACTCATTTGTTTTGAAAAACATTCAAACGAAAAATAGAAAGCTTTTAATTTATCGATCAATAAAAGCATGATATAAATATTATTACTTTTAATTTTAATGCGGTTTAGATATATTACGTTAATTAGATTTATCCCTTAATGGTAGATATTTTATAGAGGCATTTGTTTCCTTGTTATATTGAAAATAATATAGAACACTCGCGTACATATGTATATATTGTAAATTGTACAGGCTTACTTCCACATTATCTGAACACATATAAGCGTGCCTCTACGCGTGTCTTCACAAGTTACCTCTTACGTGATCGACTTTTACTATATACTCCGATATCATTTTTTATATCGCACAGTAATAAGATAAACCAGAGAAATCAAATATTCATATTTTGAGGAAAAAAAAAAACATTTTATGAAGTTATAAATATGTTACAACTATAAATATAGTAAATATGCTACTTGCATATAATTAGCATTTTAAGAGAGAATTATAATAATGGATCTGAATATTTCTTACAAACAAAAAATGAGATGAAAAATGACAAAAAGTTTACAAGTTCCAATATTAATTGGATGTACCATATAGCATATATATGAGTATGAGAGATCTTTTTTTTTTGACACATTCTCGTAATTCTTTGGGAAATTTTACTAATGGTACACTATTCTAAAAAGATTTGATTTTGATTTCATTAAGTTTAAATAGACAATATGATATCGGAGTACAGTTTATGCAATTCAACGGAAAAAAATATAAGACTTTGAAATTAACATATTTATTCTATATTTACAGAAAAAGCCAGACTGGTCCAAGGGCAAACCGGGAGATCAAAAGGTAAAAGAGGAAGAGGTTGAGGCATGAAGTGTTTCCCCATCATAAAATATTATTAAGACCTGTCATGAACATCCAATCAATGTGATAAACCCATCCTGTATGTGGCTAGTTTCATCAATATGGTCCTACAATCTCCACCCGTATGTGCCAGTGGCAAATTCCTTCAGTAATTATATATATATTGTCCAATAAAAAAAAAAACATGTCTACCATTTCGTATATGTTTAAACATTTTTTATAATTATTTATTTATTAAATAATGTTTTTGTAAGATACGTATAATAAAATTAATTTTCTGTATTAAAAAAATATGTGTTGTTGTGATGTCATTTTTGTGTACCCTTACCTTATTTATTCTCAACGTTCCTTTGTTCCTTACCTGTCGTTAATTTTATCAGTAGAATTTTAAAATTAAATTAAATTGTTTTCTTTTCTATACGTCTCCTCGAAATACGTGTGTCCCTGTGTCCCATTTAAATATTTAACTTTTTAGACTTTGGCCTTTAAAAGATTTCAGCATAAAATTGTGATTTCCTAACGGAGTGTAGGTAATATCTGGTGGTTAGCAATATATTAAAACAAGAATATCTTTGTAATATATTCACGTAGACAAATCATATATCATAATTTACATTTAGATTGCTAGGAAATAAGAATTTCTACATGCAAAACGAGATAGAAATTCGTTCCAGGAAAGATTTGTTTTCTTTAATATTCAAATATTAGCTAAAACTGTGTACTTGTGATTATTTAACTGATGGTGTATATTTTCAATTCACTTCAAAAAAGGAAAAGGTTTTTAATTCGGTTGCATTTTTTTATGTTTGTTACTATATATATATAGGTACATACTTTCAGATTGATCCTTATAGAAATTTTATCAAATTTAGTTTTTAAATTAAAACTACATTGATCACGATTGAAATTAGTGCTTTTCAATCGACTTCAAAAAGAAGACGGTTCTTTATTCGGTTGTTTTTTTTGTGGAACAAAAATCTAAATTATTCATATTAATTTTCAAGATTTTATAAAAAAATGTTTAGAGACATTTTTATAAATTAACAACAAATAAAATAAATATATATACATATTATTTAGCCATTTAATAATTATTGAGGAACAAATACGTCTTAACCTGATTGTACTAGTGTAGCATTTAATGTAGTACTCGTAAATTATTTTTGGGAAGATTGATTAGTTTTTTTTTTTAAAATTTAATTATATTAATTTTCAAGATTTTATAAAAAAATGTTTAGGGACATTTTTATAAATTAACAATGAATAAAATAAATATATATACATATCTTTTAGCCATTTAATAATTAGTAACTTTACATATTTTAAATAAATAAAATCCTATACGTAATAACACTAAAATTCATTCATAATCGTTTTGTAATTTTATTTCAACAAATTAAGTAACACTTAAGTATTATCTGCCAATTTTAAAATTAAATATAGATAATAAATTATAGATCATATAATTATTTTGTTAGAATCTGGAAATTAAAATTAATAATATTTCGAATCCATTTAACATGAATTAGTGCGGGTTCGATCCCCGTACAATTCGTGAATATTTACAAATAATTTGAGATATTACCCCCCTAAATAAATAAAAGCTGCTATACGGACAAAATTAATATAGAAACAAAACAGAAAATGAACCGTATTGAGGGCATAAAAATAAGTATCAAAATCGGTTAAGAAATAATAAAGAGGCCACGTAATAAACACGCAATTATTCAATAAAGTATAATTATTCAATTGACTTAACTAAATACGTACATTCTTTACTAACATTATTTATGATACACATAAAACAAATTTATTTCGGACTAATCATAAAAAGTTGAAGTGTTAAATATATGTTTAGAAAGTCTTACTACAAGAGGGTGTCCAATATTTTGTATAAAAAAAGTATTGGTTTCTTTAACAAACGCAAGCAAGTCTTATTGGAAAACAAAATGTATTACTTTAAGTAATATATTTTAATCTAATAATCCATGGATTTGGAACATAAAAACACAATGAAACGTTATTACTTATTTATTTATAAGAATTTCCAAATGAATTAATCATTTGGAAAAGTAATAGCTTTTATTTACAATTATAAAATATTTGACAAGCCAAAATACTATTCATATTATAGGAAAGTGCATTTGATTACGCACTTTACATTATAAAGATAATTTTTTTTGCAATATAAATCAATTAATCAATGTTTAATCACTGAATTGTGTATGTAATTAATGTGTGTGTAATTAACTGTTTAGATAAGTAGTGATTTAAATTATTTTTGTTGTAAGGTCTTTTATGATCAAAATAAATATATATGTATTTATTAACCACTGTCGTCTATAGATGAGCAAATATAGAGATAGAGATCACAACATTCTCTTTTAAGAACACAAAATTCTTATTAGGTAGATAAATTATAATTTTAGCAAATAATAAAAAAAAAGTTACTTTTATCTCTGACGTTATCATAAAATTTTCTGAAAACAAAACAAGATCATCCGGTGAGTATATTAAAGTAATCCTTATTTATAGCTTAAAACAAGCTGGTTCTAATCTAATTTAAATTTAAAACAAAGTGAATTTTTGTTACTCGCTTTTTTTTACTTACCAGTCATAAGCTTTAACTACTAATGTATACAGTAAGATTTTTTTTTATAAAATCATAATTGCTGTTAATCATGGCTTTACACAAAATTATTGCTTCAAAATTAACTTCATTATCTGCGACGAGTGAACAGCATTGTTACATTTTAGGAGTTACAAATTGATTTTAACAATTCATAAGTAACATCATCATGCGTTTATTGCTCGTATTAATAATTAATTAGGGCAAATTAAATGATTCGTATTAACGAAGCTTTAATATTTGTAATATTAAATGGAAATACATGTATACACAGTTGCGAGAACATATCTGAATAAACTTATATAAAATCCGTATGGTTGAAAATATCTAATTAATTCCTATACGAAGAAAAAGGTTTAATTTTAAAATTACGTTATATTAATTTTTAATTTAAATATTGTGAACATTTCGTGTTGTTTTTAAGATTGTTTAACTTAAATTTGTAATATTATATAAAAATAGATGTCAATTTATGTACATTTATAATGAAGAATAATTTTACAGAGTTTTATTTCATTGTTATTTATATTTATTATTCAATCAGAGTTGTTTACGAGCTCTTTTAAATCGTCATTTATTATGATTTTACTGCTAATTTCAGAATGTTGTTATCTGATAAATAAGAGAGATCTGTAAGAACTTCACCAGTTCGTCTTTTAAAAAAAGTTATACAGTATTTCCGTTTAAAATATTACAATTATTTTAACTTTAAAAGCTTAAATATGCTCTTACTCACATTGCAACCGTGCAAGACACATATATTTGATAAGCAATCGAGATAAATAATATAACTTGACCTAATATTATAGGATGCTGGAACAGCCGAAGGTGCTCCGGCAGATGGTGCACCTCCTGCAGAGGGCGCTCCAGCGGCACCAGCAGAGAGCGCACCAGCGGCACCAGCAGAGGGCGCCCCTGCGGCTCCGGCAGAGGGTGCCCCAGCGGCACCGGCAGAGGGCGCTCCAGCGGCACCAGCGGAGGGCGCCCCAGCAGCACCAGCAGAAGGTGCCCCAGCTGCACCAGCAGAGGGCGCTCCAGCAGCACCTCCCGCTGAGGGAGCGGCACCTCCAGCCGAAGGAGCACCTGCGCCGGCTCCGGCTGCTCCTCCCACAGAAGGTGCGATCTTATCATCAGAGCTTTAAAATACTTCACTGATTATAAAGTTGTGTATAATATATTTTTGTCTTACCGTTTACTGTCGTTAAGTAGCTTATTTGCATGCTGGTATCGAGGTGAGATACAGCAGTGAAAGAGTTACGTTTAGCAGACATTATGCCATATCACGCATGTCACAGTTGCATTTTTACTGTCATATTTTACTCACGAAACCAGCAAAAATTTTTAGATAGTAACATATAATGCGAAATATCTATCTAGGTACTAAGTCATATCGAATATGATTTAATAAACCAAACACATATTGAGCTGATATTTAACAACTCCACAATATGTATTCAAACCATTCATACCAATAGTTAGCAGGTACCACAGCTCATAACTTTTGCATATCGCGCTTTGCTGATCCATGTAACATAAAGATCTCGGTATACAGTATTATTAAGTTAAGAATGGATAAGTCCAATAAAAATGTTGTTAGGTGCCCCAGCGCCTGCGCCTGCGCCGCCAGCGGAAGGCGCTCCAGCGGCAGCACCCGCTCCCGCTGCACCTGAAGGTAACACATTATTTGGTTTAATATTATTAACAGTTACAAATAAATAACAAGGAAAGTAACGGTAAATAACACAAGTTCAAGAGAATGGATATTAAAACAAATATAATGAAATTATAAAAATTAAAACACATTATTTTAAAAACATGCTCGGGACTTGACGCTATTAAAACATCTTTGCAGATCAATAGTACCTATATATCTGTTTCTTTATTCTTTATTGGATTTTTGTGTAAACAACGCGAAAATTTAAAATTAACTATGAAAATACAAGTTCAGGAGGATGAAAATTAAAACAAATATAATGAAATAATAAAATTGAAACCTTGTTCAAAGCTGTTATGTCAGCATGCTGATAGTATACTAATCTTCACCTATAACAATGAATGCCATATTTCCAGTAGTGGGAATGTAAATAGATTAAAATATTAATTGTAAACTGTAAGGACCCTCAATTAAGAGAAATTGGAACGCATGTCTACTTTTCATTCTTAAATCTCACATTTTAGGAGCTCCAACACCAGACGCAACAGCGGCGCCTGCACCACCTCCTGCTGAAGGTACCGTAGCTAATATAATTTTTCTTAATATTTTTGCGTTGTATTAATTTTTTTAAGTTATTGCATAATTTCTCTCTGCTATTTCTATGCCTATTATTGTTATAAAAACATAGACTGATATCATGTACTCAGTATTTTCAATTTCTAAAATTGTTTGTATATTTTAAATTACCGCGTACTACAATTTTTGAAACCTTTGCCTGCATTGGCAACCACTTGGTGATGGTTGATGGAATGATATAAAAAATAATAAAACCAATTCTTTGTTTGAATGCTAGATTCATCGGGATGGCTCTTAGATATTTGATAAAAAAATATATATATCCAAAATTTTTAAAAGTTTTAATATGTATTTACTAATATAATTCTTGTCAAAACAGCGCCAGCACCAGCGCCGGCGCCAGAACCTGCGCCCGCGCCTGCCCCGGAGCCAGCAGCGCCGGCAGCGCCACCACCAGTTGAAGGTCTACAACTTTTTATATTTATACTTTAATAACATATACGAATAGAGGAGAAGGGATTGCAGTTCGTATTTTTTTTTCTGGATGATAATGGAATGGTAACCTCGCCCGCGCTAACGGTATACGCTGATTGGGCACCGATGAGAGGTGATAGGTGATAGGTGAGAATGAAAAGGCAGGTCAGTTAGCCCATCGTGATAAATAAAATTGGGATTTAGCACGATATTTTTCAGAAGGGACCACGTAAAGGTCGACCTGACAGAGTATAATGCTAGCAATGGAACTGGTAGTCCGCATTACTAACAGTCCCTTCCCACCCTGTTAGTGCTTATTGTCAGCAACATAGTGTGGGTCGACCTTCACATTTTCCACTGGAAACCACCATGATTAATTCTTAATGAATTTAACACGATGGGCCTAAGATGGACCGATGGCACATGATAGTTGAAAATGAAACTGACCTATTTTCAACTAAGGTACAATAGGCGGTCTTATCAATAGGGCAATCTCTTACAGACTAATGAATTGAATGATGATAAAACATGAATGTGAATTCACATTCATGTCATCATAACAACTACACAAATTAAATATCATAAATGATATACATTTTTTTACAGCATCTGCATAATTCAACTTCATCGTGGTTAGAAGAAGAAATCACATTGCCGCCTCGCTCTGGACATTTGCTCAACTGATTTTTTACATTTCCTTATTAATTAGTTCATTATACTATTATGTAAATTTTGTATTATCATCTTATAATAAATATTATTATTAATAATAAATAATTTGTTTTATAAATAATGCTGGTTGGTACAAATAAAAGAGAAATAGAATGAAATTGATTAAGACTATTATCGTTGTTTGACCTATCGTTTAAATTTTCTATCATTTCTATATTATTATAATAATAAAGAATAAACAGACTTCCTTATTATATATAACACTAATTGTATCAGAAATCATTATTAGATAAATTTAATTGAGAAAGCGACAAGGAAGTATATAAGAGCTCCACGGACTAATTACAAAACATTAGGTACAAACAGAGGTGACAATTAGCGAAAAGTTGTTTATCCCAACTAAATTTCTTGTAAATTAGGCTGAGTCAGGGTCGAGACATGCCATACGACCCCTCGACCCTAATACCTTAGCCTCTATTATTTGAATAGAATTCTCAGTAGTTGCCCAAACTCTTTGAGTAAATGACCCTTCTACGTTGCCCTCAAAACAATGGATCTAGCGCTCATGAATGGGCAAGTACAAGACGTTTGATATATTATTACTTACATGATATCCCTAAGCACGTATTGGAGTTAACTGTAATGCCCAGAATAAGCAACTGAATTTAGTATTCATAGCTTACGATAAGTTAGTATATACACAGTGGATGTGTTCTCATAAATATTAACAAAGAGATATACAAAAAGAAGGTTCAAATTTCCGACTGAAATCTCCGGAGTAGAATGACCTTAATAATTATCTCCCATTCGCTTTATCTTCAACCTTATGGCGGTAATTAATGGGCTACATTAAGTTTAATTAAAATAGACTTTCTGTTATATTATACCTAATCCCAACTTTAAACATTTTTGGTTGGAAAACTTTTTACGTCTCAAAGGAAAAATGTACAAATTTCGAGATAACAAAACCAACAAGTCTACAATACATACAACAACTAAATGTAAACTAAAAATTTCATTTCAAATCTCAGAATAACTGAATGAATGGTATGAATAGGGTGTACTGATCAAGACAGAATTTTTTTAGTACATCACAGTCATATTTCTTTCGTCAAACAGCTATTATAATACTAGCGGTTTGGTTTGACCTTTTAAAACTGTAAAATTACTAAGTACGAAGACATAACACCTTAGTGCTCGTAAATTGCATGACATTAAAATGACTAAAAACATCATTGCTTTTCGGAAATTCATGGGTTACTGACTCATATTCTCAACATGTCATGTGGTACCGATATAGAATAGGTCATCCCTTCCATTCCCGTAGGTGTCGTACTCGTAAGTGGCGACTAAAGGAACTTAATGGTCGAAGAATGGGTGGCAACGTTCTTCTCAAAACATCTCTAAAGCCTAATTGCGGTTGCCAACCTTGCGCTTGTCAAGCGTGGCAATTACTGGCAAAACTTCTATTGATTGGAAGACAGTTCAGCAGTGGACGGTTAAGAAGCTTGATGACATGATATGAGCACTCTCAACATGAAGGCGATTAACTTATTTGCTATTCCAAGTTTTTTTTAGCAATTTAGAATGACAAACACGCTGACGACTCACCTTATAACATGTGGTAACCGTCACCTATAAACATGAACGTACCATGGACATAATAGAGTACAAATATACTATGTCACCAACGATAGCCTTCATGCGTCGCCAGTCCGGAGGACTAAGGTGTTTTTTTTTTAATGGATGGTAATGAAATAGTAACCCCGCTTGCGCTATCGGTATACGCTGGCGGGCTACTAGTGAGGGATGGTAGGTGAAGATGAAAGCAGGTCAGTTGGCCCATAGTGATGAATTCATACAATAACAATCAAGATGGTTTCCAGGGGAAATTGCGTGGAGGTCGATCTGATAAGGTATATTGTTAGCAATGGGGCCTCTAGTCCCATTACTAACAATCACTTTCCCCCCGGACTAAGGTATTATACCTCTATACACCGTAATTTCATTGTCATATCTCACTCTTTAAACCGAAACACAGTCATCCAAACACAACTCTATCACGGCAGAAACACGAGTGGGACAGAGGTACCCAAGCAAACGGCTTTTGTACAAAGTCTCCCTCTCTCTTAGTTATACAAAAAAAAAAAACGTTTATACTTGATGACAAATTGAATTTCCATTCAACCATGCTTAATTTTGTTTATCGATTCGATACCTACAAATGAATGCAATTGAGATGAGAACGCTTTGGGCACACTATTCTACAAAATAAATATTTGAACACGTGTTACGCCGTTTACCTGAATTGTTCAGTGCTGGTTTCAATTACAGCTTGTTATATATACATCTGGATGTTTCAAGTTCGTATCGCGCGTTATATGGAGAATCGTAAAATATTTATGTCCCATACCCAACGACAAATTGGGGAGGATCATGCCCATTCATCTGTATGAAAAGGAATAATAAAAAAATATCGTGTCTTTTTCATAGGTGTTTATTTTGTTTATCTATCACAGATTAATAAAGTCTAGATAGAGTATATCACTACAAATGCTTTGACAAAAATAATGAAGAAAAATTGTGATTAAAAATTATATTAATCTTCTGACTGTTGATTTTTATCACATAAACCGTCATCTTATTTATCAATCCTTCTAATATAAATGTAAAAGTGTGTAAAGATGTTTGGATATTTGTTACACAATGACGCTTAAACGGCTGAATATATTGAATAAAATTTTGCACGAAAATAATTTAAATATAGGATACATTTTATGTAATTCACACGAGCAAAGCCGCGTGATAAAGAAAGTAATATAATACTTCTAGACTTTCAGGTACTCAAGACAAACCAAGATTAGTATATTATAGAATTTTATACTAGTCGTTGAAGAAAAGGTTTGTATAAGAACAACGTTTGGAAGGAAAGGAACAATAACACAACAACAACAACAATGCAACAAACACAACAACAACACAATAACTATAACCACATTGCTAACAATATATGAATGAATGAATGAGTATACTTTATTTGCATTATACAATATAGAAAATAAGCAAGGCAATTTACAAACTCAACGATACAATTATATAAGTACAGTAAGGCGATCTTATTGCTGAGAGCAATCTTTTCAAGACAACCTTATACCTTATCAGTTCGATCTCCATACGGTTTCCCCTAGAAACCATCGTGGTTAATTCGTTTGTTGAATTCTTAATGATAGGTCGACTGACCTGCCTTCATTCTCACCTATCATCTATCATTGGTGTCCCGTTAGTATACCAATAGTGCGGGCGGGGTTACCATTCTATTTTAACCCATTAAAAAGATAACAAAAACATAGGAAGTTACATCTTTTTTGCTTGTTGCGTCTCAGATCTTTAATAACACTATACAGCACGAGAGAGGTAGAAATTAAAACAATCACTTTTATGTATTATTTATATTAGAACGTATGAATAATTTAATGAAAAAATAAAATAGAATTTTGATAACAATTGAAAAAAAAAGCAATAATGCTCTCAGATATAGTTCCTAAGATGTAGTCAATGACATTTACCGAACAGTACTGTAGCTGTAACTGTAACATTTTGAAAGTGGGCAACATTTCGTTAATCATGTTACTATCCAACGTGGTAAGAATTATTCCAAGCATATATATATATATAAGTCTAAGAAAAGTCTCTCACGTACCACATATGGTACATAATGTTATTGTATGTGATTGTAGCTGAAATTGTATAACTACCGTATAATAACCATACAAAGCTCAATTTTCCATTCCAATTGAATGAAAAATAAGCGAATACCTATAGGGAACGAACATATTCGTAAAAACATTAATTTTTATAAACACACGTGAAAAGACCACTTGAGGTTATATATTTATATATTTCCCTTTTGTGACCTTTATTTTGTTATTACAGATACGAAATTAGATTGGGCTCTTTTTCTTCCGAATTCTAATTTTCCACTTCCCTGAGTTTGTGTTGAAGATTTCTTTTTAGTTGCGCAAAAGAAAAATGTAAGCAGCAAATAAATATTTTTTTATATCCCCAGTTATGGGGTAAACGTTGCCTCAAAGGTCAATAATTGTTGTTAAACGGGAACATTGTTCCTCTTTTGCCCACTTTTGATTTGATGTCAACATTTCCTTGTTCACAGTAAAACAGTCGTTTATATTACGGATATGTTATTTACATAGATAACATATCCGTAAATTTAAATTAATATTAAATTTACATAAATACAATAACTTTTTTTTATTAATGATAATGGAATGGTATCCACACCCTTGTTATCGGTATACACTGGCGGGGCACCAGTGAGGGATGATAGATGAGCATGAAAGCAGGTCTGTTAGTCCATTGTGACGAATGCAACAAGTATTAGTCAAAATGGTTTCCAGGGGAACCGCGTGGAGGTCGACCTGACACGGCTTGGTAGCAATGGGGCCATTAATCCTCATTACTAACAATCCCTTTCTCCCCAATACAAATCAATTGCCCAATGTATGAAAGCACATCACTTCAAACGACTACTTGTTCTGGTTAATTATTTTTTGTTTTACTTATAATTGTGAGGATAAGGTTTGTATGAAAGAAAATGTTTGTTTTTTGCAAATATTGTTTGTTGCAAAAATTGTACAAAGAAGTAAAAAAAATTTGTGAATAAAATCTCTATATTAAAAAAAAAATAATGCCAAGGACGATTATAGTTTAATTTAGGTAAAATAAAATAAATAACAGTTGATAGTAAAAGATTATATTGCATATTAGACTCCGAAGCAAGAATATTATGTATAAGTAGACAACTTAATGTACAAAAGACGTGCTTCGGTTTTTATGCAAAACACGCGACTCGTTTAAAATAGGAAACCCGCCATTACAAATTCTTATTAAAATTTTGACAAACAAGTTAATATCTATAGCACAATGTAATTTAAGATTTAAAACATGTAATACATTTATTTTAAGGTATTCTGTTTTAAATTCACAGTAACCACACATATATGATATCCCTAAATTAGAAATATATGTTCATTTTATTAATATGTATAAATTAAAAAATAGGCAGATACAGATTTTTTTAA